TATTGTTTCACAAAGTAAAATCACTGGAACACCTAAATCTTAGAAAAGGCAAAAGAAAAAGAATAGATTAAATGCAATTAGTCTTGTAGGAAACTCACTTCATTGTCTTCATGTTGCTTGTGTTACTGTGGACTAGAGAAAACTTCATTATGACTGGTTTTTAACGTGGTTCTTCAAGGGAAAGAACGGATTATATTCTCCAGGGAGACGGGGTTATAAACGTACACTCCCCTGCCACATTCCAGACACCCACTCACCAACGGCCCAGGCCATGCATGTGTTTTCTGGAGGTGCTCCATTGGGTTCCCTCCCTTCTGTTTCCAATTACATCCGATTTCTCAGGCCTCCATTTTCTTTAGGTGGGTCGGATAGAACTTCGTTGAGAAGGTAATTCTAATGGTGCCTAATGAGACCAGCAAGCGACTTGGGCAGCTGTTTTGTTTCCAAAGAAATCCATAAGCAGGTGTCCATCCATGTTGAGGGAAGTAAACAGATGACTTATTTTGCTCTAATAAATGCCATCTGCCCTGTAAGTAGATCGTGACCTCGTCTGTTATCCAGGTGTTAAGATGCCTGGGAAACAGGCTGGACCCTGTGTATGAGTGTGACTTCCCTGCCTCACTAAAGGCACCTGGTTTTCTAATCTCTTATGGGAAATTGATGTTGTTGCTGTTGGGTGCCGCAAAGTCGATTTTGACTCATAGCGACCCCATGTGACAGAGAAGAACTTTCCCATAGGGCTTTCTAAGCTGTAATCTTTACAGGAGTAGATCGCCTGGTCTTTTTCTCCCTCGGAGTCGCTGGGTGGGTTCGAACCACCAACCTTTTGGTTAGCAGCCGAGAGCTTAACCATTTGCACCACCAGGGCTCCTTTATTGGAGAGTAAACCCGTGCCCAAGGGCCACAGTGTCAGTTGGCATCAGCTGGCATGCTCCTTCAAGCCCTGGCTACAAAGAGCCTTGCTGAGATCAAGCGAGGGAGCAGGCCCTGACAGTGTGAATTTGGGGCAGTGTGAGGTCAGACTAAGGCAGAAATCCCCCAAGCCACTGCCTCAAGCAGCTTTGCATCAGAATCCTGTTTTCTTTGCTTGCCCTGCAGCTTTGCATTAGAATCCAGTTTCCTTTGCTTGGTTTGCTCCCCCCGCCCCCCCCCCAACACACAGCTTTGCATTAGAATCCTGTTTTCTTTGACCTCGTGATGCCTGAAGTTATATGTAAATCCCGTTGTGCCTGTGTAGTATGATTAAGAATGTTGCTGATGTAATTTGTATGAACTTTCTACTTGTAAATTCCTTAAAAGTAACTTTTCTCCTCCCCCTTGGGGAGCAGTCTTGGCAGCAGCAGCTCCTACTGACTCCCTTCCTTGCACAACAAAATAAAGGTGACTTTTCTGCTCTCCCACCTTAGTCTCTCATTCATTGGCCAATCTGAGTCATGCCAAGCACAACCTGGGGTTTCCACCCAGTAACAAGACAGTTATAAATCCAACTCTTCCACATCTGCTCATGGGATAGTGAGTAAGACGCTTCAGTTATCTGGGCCTCAGTTTCCTCGTCTGCAAAGGTGTCCAGGGGGTTCCAGTGTGTGGCCAGCTCTGAGAACCAGCGGCATGGAGCCGTACACTGCCACAGTACCGGTCAGGCATTGGGAGGACATGGGGCACTGGGCAGCCAGTAGCAGCTGTAGGAATCTGCAGGTGGCTGGCTGTCCAGTGGCAGCTGTTAGAAAAACAGCATTGGCATCAGAAACTGCCCTTCCACTTCAGTCCAATGGGGAACACTTGGCCCTCATCCTCGGACCCCTCCTTACCTTTCCAGCACCAGCTCCAGTAACGAACTTTAGCCCCAGCACCCACTCCTCTCTGGAGTAAGCACCCCTAGAGGGTAACTGCTTAGTCTGCCTTCCAGAGAGGACCTGCTTGGGTGACAGAATAGAATTGTGCTCCATGGGGTTTTCAATGGCTGGTTTTTCAGAAGTAGATCACCAGGCCTTTCTTCTGTGGCATCTCTGGGTGGACTCAAACCTCCAACCTTTTGGTTAGCAGCCAAGCATGTTAACTGTTTGCACCACCCAGGGACTGTCATGAGCTGACCACCAATGACACAGCAGGCAGGGCTGCTAGAGCTGGACCACTTCCACCTCTGCTAGGCTCCTCTACTGGGCCATTTCTGCTCTGGGACTGCCCATGGTTCTGGCCGAGACTCTCTCTAATGCTCTTCCTTCACCTCTCCTTCCACAGGGTCAGACCTGCACTGTGGGCTGAGGCCGCCTCGCCTGTGCCTACTCCCTCTCCCCTTTATGCATCACGACTTTACATCCAATGAGCCGCCTGCACATCTAATTCCAGTGTGGCATCTACTTCTCATAGGAACCGAACCCGTACAGAGTTCAGTGTGGATTCTGGCTCAGGACCTGTAATGTGGTTGCTGTCGCTGTTAGGTGCCATCGAGTAGACCCCATGTGAGAAAGTAGAACTGCCCCTTGGGGTTTCCTAAGCTGTAATCTTTAGAAGAGCAGATCACCAAGTCTCTTCTCCCACAGTCGCTGGTGGGTTTGAACTGCCGACCATTCAGTGAGCAGCTGGAGTGCTTAACCTTTGCGCCACCAGGGCTCCTTTTGTAATGTGGGCAAGTCCCTAAATACAGGGATGGTTTCAAAAGACCTGGGGTGGCCACAAACATGAAAAGTATCCCCAAAGTCCCACCCCAAGCAGCAGTTGACCCAATCTCTCTCTCCCCATAAGACACCAATACCCCTAGCTCTCTGCTCTCTCCCTTTCCTCTCTCTTCTAAGATCTTTTCTCTCCTTTTCTGGATCTTTCCATCATGCCCTTTCTGATCTAAATGTAACCCATTACCCTGAGCAAAACTATAAAGATCTGGGAGCATACCAATCAGGCAATCCACCCATCAATCCTGCCAGAGGACAGGCTTCCTTTTTGGTTAATATTTTTGTTTCTGTCCCATGGACACCAACTAAATAATTAGACTACCTTGCCTTAATAACTCACTTTTTGAGCTAATACTAAGCATCCTTTAAACCACGTGCCATCAAGTTAACCCCAACTCATAGCAACCCCATGTATAACTGTACTCCATGGCTGAGTACACTCAATGGCCAACTTTTCGGAAACAGATTGCCAGGCCTTTCTTTCAAGGTGCCTCTGGGTGGACTTGAACCTCCAACCTTTTGGTTAGCACCCAAGAGTGTTAACTGTACCACTCAGGGGCTGCCAGCACCTCTTGGTTGTATATAGAAATCAAAGTCCAGGAAATTGCTCATAATTTGCCCAGAGGAACCTAAGAAAGGAGCTTCTTGACCAGCCGTGCTCCCTTGCCCACTTTCAGGGGGTCTGCCTTAGAGGCTTTTGTTTCCGTTTAGCTCTGGCCCCCCCTCCCCAGCTGTCCTTACTATCAGACAACGGCAGCAAGTGGTCAGGCCTCCAGCCTTAAGTGTGGAGACGTGCCCAACGCCAGGTTGGAGGAGGACTCCCCTCTCCTGCGGCTCCTGCCCCCACCACCCAGCACGTTGGCCCCAAGCCTGGGCTTCCATCTTTTGTTCAGTTGCATCAGCCAAGCTAGGAGTCTAGGAGCGCCAGCAGAGTCCTCACCAATCCCCATCAGGGGGCACAAATCCTCCTTCCATGGGCCCAGCCGGTCACAGAGGCTGCCCCGCAATGCACATTAACAGACACGGAAGGGGGGCTTTCTCCCAGTAGAGGGGTCATGTGATACCAGGGGGAAGGGGTGAACTAGCGCAGGCTCCAGTGGCTCGGGTGGAGGCGGCCGTGGCCTTGAGAACCGCAGGCATACTGTTTTCTTTTGTTACCCCTTTTTTCTTTGATGGCCCTTCAATGCTGCTGCCAGCTCCACTGTGTGAATGACAATCCCAGTCCCTCATCGGCCCCCGAGACGGAAAACAGGAAAGGACAAGGGGTGTTACTTTTGAGACCATGTTATTAATGACTCCCAGGGCCTTCCAGCGGTGGCTGGGGGCCAAGCTCCGAGAAGCAGGATTCCTGCCCTGAGGTTGTATTTGCCTGTGTGGATCTTCGATTAATAGGTTAGAAGGAAAAGAAAAAGACTCTCAGACTCAGGGCTTCACTTTGGAGGCAGCATTCTCAAGCCCCCACAGGACTCTTGTGTGGAAGGAGGCACCTGATTCTGCAGAGGCAGACACTAATGCTCAGAATGACTCAGAAACTTACCCAAGGTCACACAGCTAGTAAGGGGCAGGACCCAGACTGGAACTCGGGTCTCTGATTCTAAGCAAAGCAGACTGCTCCTCCAGCCCCCCAGAAATGGATTAAGGAGAAAAGAATGTTTCAACCAAGGTCTGTGCTTTAAGCAAATATGGATTTGTTGTTATTTTTAAAATATAATAGGAACAAGCACATGCTGAAGATATCTGAAAATACCATTTATGCTCATCACTATTTTTTAACTGTTTGCTATCAGACATGCTACCAAGTTTAATTATTTAACACACTAATAAAGAAGTATATTATTGTTTTAAAAAGAACAACAACAAGCACACAAATTCCCCTCCCCCCTTCCCTGCCATGCCAGGCACTGTTGAAAGCCCTTCATGGGAGATGACACAGTGAACCCGTATAAGGCAGGCTCAGGTCATTTCCAAATGTTACATGTGAGCAATGCTCTAGTTTTTACTTTCAAAGCAAAGCTCTCTCTATCCCTCCTTTGTATTAAATAATAAACAACCCAGGACTGTCCAGACCCATGCCTTAATTGCTTTAATCATGGCCTAATCCGTGCCCAGAGCCCTGGTGGTGCAGTGGTTAAGTGCTCTGCTGCTAACCAAAAGGTCAGCAGTTCAAACCCACCAGCCACTCCACAGGAAAAAGATGTGGCAGTCTGCTTTTGTAAAGATTACAGCCTTGGAAACCCTATGAGGCAGTTCTGCTCTGTCCTATAGGGTTGCTATGAGTTGTAATTGACTCAACGATTCAGCTGTGAATTGGGGATAGCAATAGTTGCCTACCTTCTTGTTGAAGTATAATCATGGACCAGCAGCATCGGCATCACCCAGAAGCTTTCAGAGATGTAGAATCTCAGCCTCCAAGGCCAGACCTGCTGAATCAGAGTCTACATTTTAACCGGATCCCCAGGGAATTCATATGCACATTAAATTTTGAAAATCCCTGCCCTAGGATTCCCATTTGGATTAAATAGAAGGTAAAGTTCCTGGCACATTATTGATCTCAATAAAGGTTAGTTCTCTTCTCCCACCCTTCCTTTCTGCCCTTAAACCCAAAAAGAAAAAACCAAACCCATTGCTGCCGAGTCAGTTCCAACTCATAGTGACACTATAGAACAGAGTAGAACTGCCCCATAGGGTTTCCAAGAAGCTGATGGTGGATTCGAACTGCTGACATTTTGGTTAGCAGCCGAGGCTCTTAACCACTGCACCACCAGGGCTCCTTTCTGCCCTTAGGAAGGTAGAAACTCTGCCCTCCCCCTAATGTGCCATCTTGTTAAACCCTGAGGTGTTAGTGGCTGTAACAGTTGCCTCAGTGCCTGCACTTTATACACATAATCTCATTTAATTTTCACAGTGACTCTCTGCAATAGATGTTATTATCACCATGTTACAGACGAAGAGGCAGATGTTCAGAGAAGTCCCATGACTTGTCCACGTTCACCATGACTGAGCCAGAACTAAAGACCAAGTCTGTCTGGCACCACTGCATTTGTTCTAACCACCCCACTCCCTTTCTGATTAACCCTGCCACAGTCTGGAATCCTGGGGTTCAAAAAGCCACACCTGCTCATACATTCATTCATTCACTTGCCCGTTCACTACTTCCGTAGACTGTGAGCCTTCTTTATGAGCTAGTGTGGTGAGATGCTGCGTCATCCTCCATAAGCGTAGCTACTCTGGGTCCATCTGGATACTCCAGACAAAGCCAGAACTTGAACTTGAAAATGCAAAAACTTTCCTGAGTTGCAAATTTACGGGAAATCTTGGCCGCCTGATTTGCATTTTTGGCAGCGTCCTTCTGCCCACTCGGCTGCTGAGATCACTCTATTTTCTCATTCACAAGCTTAACCAGGCGAGGCAGTGGGACAGTAACTGCAAGCTAAGCGGTGACCTTTGCTGAAAAGAATGGCCAGCCGCCTCAGCACTACTTGAGAGGAATTCCCCAAGAGTAGCAAGCGAGGAAGCTGGCAGCATGTCTGAAAGCATGTTCCTTTGCTGCTCAAAATCTCCCATCTGTACTTGGGAGTTCTTGTTTCTAGCTGCATCCATGCTAGCTTCCCTTTCCCGGGCAAGGCCTTTGCTCCGGGATATCCCAGCCATTTCTTGCCTGCAGGCAAGTGGCAGGAGAGGTGGCGGTGGGATCTAACAACTTCATCTGGAGGGAGGGAGGCTGGAGCCAAGGCCGGGGCAGGAAGGAAGCCCACAGTGAAGCAGCTACTAGAAACTGCTGAGGATGCAGCACTAGAAATGGGTTTTTATGACTGTAATAGCATCATGGCTGAGCACTTGTCTGACAAATTATAAACGTATGTTTATTTTCTCCTAACAAAAGTTAATACAACCTCCTTCCACATACTGTGCTGGGGGTCCCCAATACCACCCCCACATTCAGAGATTTCATAGAAGGCCCTGTGGGTCTCAGCATAGAGTTATACTCAAGGCTAAGATTTCTTAACAGCAATGGAATAAGGAGCCCTGGTGGCTCAACAGTTAAACACTTGGCTGCTAACCAAAAGGCTGGCAGTTCGAACACACCCAGCCACTCCACAGTAGAAAGACCTGGCGATCTGCTCCCGTAAAGGTAACAGCCTAGGAAACCCTATGAGGCGGTTCTACTCTGTCACATGGGGTCGCTAGGAGTCAGAATCAATCTGATGGCACACAACAACGGTAAGGAGATCCAGCAGGGTGCTAAGGGAAAAAGACATAGGAAGAGTCTGGAGGAGTAGAGCCACAGGTTTCTGTATACTCTATCCTTCCCATGAGGCGCCACACAAAAGAGCACTCTTCCCCAGCAATGGAAATGCTACAACATGTGTGTGATGCCTCTGTCCAGGAGAGTCCGTTAGAGACTCAGTGCTCGAGGCTTTGTATTGGGTGCTGGTCATGTAGGCACCCTTTGCCTAGCACATACCAAAATTTCAGAAGGAAAGCGAGCGTTTAGCATGAACCACATTATTTGTACAAACACTCTAAGCACAGTGAGCCACCCTTATCAACTAGGGAATGATTCAAGCGCCACGTTCCCAGGAGCCAGTCAATGCAAGCAGGTCTTTCTAAAGAAAGCTCTTTCAAGCCAGCTGTGCTAACTCCTTCCTACACACAACACACACCCTCGTTCCATGGCCACTGTTAGCAATTCCATGTGTTGCCCTCTTCTTTTTTTAAGCTTTTTAAAAAATATCATACAATCTTGTGATATGAATTTAAACTACACAGACGTCCATAATTCTGTATTCTGCTTTGTCACTTGATACCATAATTTGTAATAGCTGAATTCATGCAAGCATTCGAGCAGCCATTTATTAAATGAGTAATACTCCCTTTAGTAGATGTACTGTAGCTTACTATAACACATGGTTGTCGCCTTAATTACCACTTGTGCACCTGTTGTATGAAGCCTGAAAAACTAGGCTAGTTCTAATTTCTAAAGAGTGGAGGCAAATGGGTTTTAGGTACATCTGACAAATCAGCTTGTTGCCAACCCCAGGCCTAGAAAAGATTCTAGAATGGATTATTAAATGGGTGACCTGGGAACACTTGGAAAAGACACAGTATTCATTAGGAACCAGCAGCACAGATTAATAATAATTTACCTCACTGCCCACCAGGAAAACTTTATTTACATTATCCCCTTTAATCCTCGCAGCAAATTGGTAGGATAGAAATATTATTCGCATTTTACAGCTGAGGAAACGGAGGCTCAAAGAGGTTAAGTGACTTGCCCAAGGCCACACAGCGTTTAAGTGACTCAAGGGCAGACCAATCCACAAAGCCCGATCGCTTAGCCATTGCACTAAGAGCATCCTCAACTTGCTTTCTTTCCAACAGGATACACCAGGCAGCACCTGAATCAGGAAAACGTAACCGACACAGTGGAACCGGATGTCAGAGAGATAACTGACAAGGTTGCTCCTAATTTCCTTGACATTCCATCCAATGGGTGGATTCCAAATGGTTGCAAAATAGCCATGTCAAGCCACAGCCCTCAGACACGTCACCCCCTCAGCAGGACTTACTGATTCACAGGCCTGACTACTGATGACTAAGCTCATGAGTGATCTGGAAGAAGACAGGGAGGCAGGCTGTCCCCCAGCCCTTTCCTATCAGCCCCCAGCACTGTGCCGGGTGTGATGTGTTATCCACTCAGATGGACACAGGCCAGCTGAGGGACCCCTCTGCAGGGATACTGCTGACCTCTCCCCTCCCACCCTGGGCCCATCTCCATACATGGGTGGCCTTTATCCACTCCAAAAAGTGAAGAAGGCTTTCCTTTCTTTGCTCAACTTTCTTTTTTTATTTTTCCCATACAAAAATTTGTACATACATGGCTATATGATCCTAATTGCTCTCCCCATACTGTGACAGCACACTCCTCCTTTCCACCCGATTCACCATGTCCATTCAACCAGCTCCTAACTTTCTCTGCCTTCCCATCTCACCTCCAGACAGAAGCTGCCCATTTAGTCTCTTGTATCTACTTGAGCTAAGAGGCACACTCCTCACGAGTATCCCTTTATGTCCCACAGTCTAGTCCAATCCCTGTCTGAAGAGTTGGCCTCAGAAATTGTTTTAGTTCTGGGATGTTAGAGAATCTGGGGGTCATGCTTTCCGGGGTTCCTCCAGTCTCAGTCAGACCACTAAGTCTGGTCTTTTTACTAGAATTTGAGTTCTGCACCCCACTTTTCTCCTGCTCCATCTGGGACTCTCTGTTGTATTCCCTGTCAGGGCAGTCATTGGTGGTAGCTGGGCACCATCTAGTTCTTCTGGTCTCAGGGTGATGAAATCTCTGGTTTATGTGGCCCATTCTGTCTCTTGGGCTAATACTTTCCTTGTGTCTTTGGTGTTCTTCATTCTCCTTTACTCCAGGTGGTTGGGACAAATTGATGCATCTTAGATGGCCGCTTCTCTGCTCAACTTTTTAATAAAAAATCAGATGGGAATATTTGAACCCACAATGAGGAATGAAAACAGTATTCAGTTAATTCCACAGTTAAGTAAACATAACAATGCACATCAAACTACAGCTACATTACCAAGAGGTGCCATTGGTACTTTCCAGCCCCTCCTCATTATATTGCTGATGGGAAACTTAGCTGCACTTGGCGCTCTCCTTTGCTCCAATTCAGCCCAGACGCCCCTTCATCACTGATGACACACTTGCATTAATCCCCTTTGGGTCTTCCAGTTGCACTGCTCTGCCCCAGGAACACACTTCCCTAGACCTCAGACTGTCTAAACTTGGTTCCCATAGTATGGAATTTAAAGGAGTGTGCTCTTTTAAAGAACTACCTATATGGGATCAAATTGACAACAGCAACTTGAAAGGTTAGATAGGAAGCTTAGGGGGCAGTGTGATTATGTTAATGATGGAAGAATAACTCAGAAAAATAAAAACGTTGCTATCCATTCCAACTCATAGCAACCTTATAGGACAGAGTAGAACTGCCCCATAGAGTTTCCAAAGCTGTAAATCTTTACAGAAGTGGACTGCCACATCTTTCTCCCGTGGAGCAGCTGGTGGGTTCGAACCACTGACTTTTCAGTTATCAGCCAAGCGCTTAACCACTGCACCACCGAGGTGAGAATGGCTGCACAGCTCAAAGATTGTAATTCATGTCACTGAATTGTACATGGAGAAATTGTTGAATTGGTGTATGTTCTGCTGTGTATATTTTCAACAACAACAAAAATAAAATAAATTGTTAAGAAATTAAAAAAATATAAAGACACACTGAAAAAGAAAAAGACAATTGGAGAAGTGTTACTCATCACCCTTATTCCAAAACAATTAGGCATTGTCCTATACGGTAAATGATTGGACAGCCACATTTTTTCAGGCAGAGTTCAATTTTTATGCTTCATTATCATAGTCATGTGCATACGGCTATACAGTGTAAAAATCTAGCTCTATTAAAAAAATACCATGTATCTAAAAGAAAATATAAAGGCTTATGCTCCCGGTTTCCACCCTACCCAAGGCTCTCTGCTAGATGCCTGTCCCAGGATGCCTTCTCTTTCACTCTATTTAGTCATCCTTGATTTTTTCTGTCCTCTAAGACTTCGCTAAGTGGCCCTG